ACCAGAAGTTTACTGAATTATCCTCTTTTGCTCCTCATATTATACCGACTGAAAAAGAACGAATTAGCAGGTTTGTACAAGGATTACCAGTTGACATACATGACAACATAGCACCTATGTTGAGTCGTGATATCACCTATGCTGAGATTGTTGATAGTGCATTGAGAATTGAGAATCGACATAAGGCAGAAGAAGCAATTTCTAAGAAACGCAAGAGGGAGCATGATGAGAAATTTCCTGGTTCTTCTTCCAAGAGTCATCAATTTTCAAGTCAATCTCACTTTCGTGCCTCACAATCTAAGCCTAGATCATTTGGTTCACCATCAGTAAGCACTCCCGTTGTGAGACCCAATTCTGGTAATGTGAGACCTCGAGCCCAGTCAGTGCCGAATCAATCGGGTTATGCTAGAGTCCCTTGTAATAGTTGTGGAAAATATCATTCGGGACCGTGCTATAGAGTGTCTGGTGCATGTTTTGAATGTGGACAGACGGGCCATTTGAGAAGAAATTGTCCATATCTACAGTCTGTGTCAAGTCACGGATCAATTCAACCTTCTCCTCGCCCTACTTCCTCATCAATCCCACCTGCTAGAACTGCTTCTACTTCAGCTAGCAGGGGTAAATTTGGAAGGGGAAATGGTCAGCGGGGACAATCTTCCTTAGGACAAAGGCAGGCGAGAGTTTATGCCATGACAAGACAGGATGCTAAAGCCTCAAATGCTGTTGTTACAGGTATTATAACTGTGTGTTCTAATCAAGCTTATGCATTATTTGATCCTGGATCCACTCATTCATATGTGTCCGCTTATTTTGCTAAGAGGTTGGGTAAAGAACCTATCCAACTTGATAAGTCATTTGTAGTTGGTACTCCAGTAGGGGAATCTTTAATTGTTTCTTATGTGTACAAGTCTTGTGAAGTGTCTCTTGAGGGCAGAGAAACCCTTATTGATTTGATGATGCTTGATATGATTGATTTCGATGTCATCCTGGGCATGGACTGGTTAGCTTCTTGCTATGCTACCGTTGATTGTCACTTAAAAGTAGTGAAATTTGATATTCCAGGTGAAACTTCTTTTATATTGCAAGGAAGTTTTATAGAAAGACCTACTAATCTTATTTCAGCTTTAAAAGCCCAACAATTACTGCAGAAGGGTTGTCAAGGGTTTTTTAGCGGTGATAAGGGACATTGATAAACCCACTGTTAGTTTGGATCAAATTCCTGTTATTCGGGAATTTCCTGACGTTTTTCCAGAAGAGTTACCTGGATTGCCACCTGATCGAGAGATTGAATTTGCCATTGATTTAGTTCCGGACACTCAACCAATTTCTATTCCACCTTATAGAATGGCACCTTCTGAGCTGAGAGAACTAAAGACTCAATTGCAAGAACTGTTAGATAAGGGATTTATCCGACCTAGCACATCTCCTTGGGGAGCACCAGTACTTTTTGTGAAGAAAAAGGATGGGTCATTAAGACTCTGTATTGATTATCGGCAGCTTAATAAGGTGACGGTGAAAAACAGGTACCCATTGCCTCGTATAGATGATCTTTTTGATCAGTTGCAAGGAGCTCAGTATTTTTCCAAAATAGATTTACGTTCAGGTTATCATCAATTAAAGATCAAGAAAGAGGATATACCTAAGACTGCATTTAGAACCCGATATGGTCATTATGAATTCCTAGTAATGTCATTTGGGTTAACTAATGCACCAGCAGCTTTTATGGATCTAATGAATCGGGTGTTTAGACCGTTTCTTGATAAGTTTGTGATTGTTTTTATTGATGATATTCTGATATACTCAAAGAGCCTAGAGGAGCATGAACATCATTTACGGATGGTTTTACAGACGATGAGGGAACAACAACTTTATGCCAAATTCTCTAAATGTGAATTTTGGCTTGATAAAGTTACCTTTTTAGGACATGTTGTTTCTAAAAATGGTATTCAAGTGGACCCAGGCAAAGTAGAAGCGGTGCAAAATTGGCCAAGGCCAACAACTGTTACAGAAATTCGCAGTTTCTTAGGTCTTGCAGGATATTATCGTCGTTTTGTCAAGGATTTCTCTAAAATAGCAGCTCCACTGACAAGATTAACTCAAAAGAATGTGAAATTTGAATGGAGTAACAAGTGTGAAGACAGTTTTCAAAAGTTAAAGGAGTGTTTGACTTCGGCACCAGTTTTGAGTTTACCATCAGGCAATGGAGGGTATGTAGTTTATTGCGATGCTTCTCGTGTGGGTTTAGGCTGTGTTCTAATGCAGCATGGACGAGTTATTGCTTATGCCTCAAGGAAACTTAAGAAACACGAGCAAAACTACCCAACTCATGACCTAGAGATGGCAGCAGTTGTTTTTGCGTTAAAAATTTGGCGTCACTATCTTTATGGTGAGACATGTGAAATCTATACTGATCATAAGAGTTTAAAGTACATTTTTGAGCAAAAAGATCTTAATCTTAGACAAAGAAGGTGGATGGAGTTACTGAAGGATTATGACTGTACAATTCTTTACCATCCTGGTAAGGCAAATGTGGTGGCTGATGCCTTAAGTAGAAAATCGATGGGTAGCTTGGTGCACATGACTTCGACAAGGAGGCCTTTGGTGCAAGAAATTCATAAACTTGAGCAGAGTGGAGTCAAGTTTGAAATTATTGATAAGGGACCATTTCTGGCTCATGTACAAGTTCGTTCTTCTTTAATGGATCAGATTAAGAGCGCTCAATTTTCAGATCCAAAATTATGCAAGTTAAAAGAAGCAGTTATAGCTGGAAGTAACATTGAGTTTGAAATTGACCAGGAAGGAATATTAAAGTGCAAGGGTAGAATTTGCGTGCCACACGAGGAAAACTTGAAACGACTTATCATGGAAGAGGCTCATCATTCTTCATATACCGTGCATCCAGGAGCAACTAAAATGTATCAAGATTTGAAACAACTGTATTGGTGGGATGGCATGAAAAAGGATGTGGCAGACTTTGTCTCACGCTGTTTGACATGCCAGCAAGTTAAGGCAGAACACCAAAAGCCAGCTGGGCTACACCAAAGGTTAGAAATACCAGAATGGAAGTGGGAAAATATCACAATGGACTTTGTCACCGGGTTACCTCGCACTGCTAAGGGGTATGATTCTATCTGGGTTATTGTTGATAGACTGACGAAATCAGCTCATTTCATTCCAGTAAAGACAACATATAATGTTGATAAATATGTTCAATTATATATTGATGAGATTGTGCGATTGCATGGAATTCCAATATCCATAATTTCTGATAGAGGTCCTCAATTTACTTCCCGATTTTGGAAATCTTTCCAAGAAGCTTTGGGCACTCGATTAGACCTTAGTACTGCTTTTCACCCACAAACTGATGGCCAGTCTGAGAGAACCATTCAGATACTTGAAGATATGTTAAGATCTTGTATTCTGGATTTTGGTGGCAGTTGGGACCGTTACTTAGCTTTGGTAGAGTTTTCTTATAACAACAGTTATCAATCTAGCATACAAATGGCCCCATATGAAGCACTTTACGGCAGGCAATGTAGGTCTCCTATTGGGTGGTTTGATGTTGGTGATACTAAGCTGTTGGGACCAGATTTGGTGCAAGATGCTATTGAGAAAGTGAAAATAATTAGAGAAAGATTAATAACAGCCCAAAATCGACAGAAGTCTTATGTTGATAATCGACGTCGAGAATTACAATTTATAATTGGAGACAAAGTATTTCTTAAGGTGTCTCCTATGAAAGGAGTAATGAGATTTGGGAAAAAGGGTAAATTGAGCCCAAGATATGTTGGTCCATTTGAAATTCTGGAAAAAATTGGTGCAGTTGCTTATCGTTTGGCGTTACCGCCTGAATTGTCAGGTATTCATCCGGTGTTTCATGTATCAATGTTACGGAAATATTTATATGACCCTTCTCATGTAATTGAAGCTCAGGGGATTCAAATATCCCCAGACTTATCTTATGAAGAAGTTCCAGTAGCTATTTTGGATCGACAAGTTAAGAAGTTGCGGTCAAAAGAAATCACTTCGGTGAAAGTGCTATGGCGAAATCATTCTCAAGAAGAAGCCACGTGGGAAATTGAAGCCGACATGCGTGCTAAGTACCCACACCTATTTGTGGAATAAGGTAAGTATAAATTTAAATTCGGAGGACCGAATTTCTTAAGGGGGGGAGAATGTGATAACCCTTATAAAAATAAATTAATATACATATATATATGATAATTGGTTTATGTATGTTTATATTAAATCCTTATACAATTATGCTAATAGAGGAAGCTGATGTAGTGGTAGTTGGGCTGGATTATTTTCATTTGGTCCCAAGTTCGAACCGTAGTGAGCCCATAGAATATTTTTCTTCCTTTGCTGATTTTCCTCATAAAAAATTACCAAATTACCCCTAACATAATTATATTTTTATTTACTCTTCTTTTGTTCTTCAGAAAGGATTCTGGAGCAAAAGAGAAAGAGAGAGTCGGTGGAGAGAGTAAGAGAAATCCTAGGTCTAGAAATTTCACTTCCTCCGTATACAGCAGTCACTGGCGTTGGTGTTGAGGTTCCGTCCGCCGTTGCTAGTGGATTGAGGTGTGCGTAAGTGGCTTCCTTCTTCCTTGCCGTGACGCCGTCTGATGTGTATGCGGGCTCGAGCTGCAACTCGCCTTCTCCTCTGTTCTGGGTGTTATAAAAGAGCACGCTAAACCTTCTCCTTCTTCCTCCTTGAATCGTTGCTGCTTCTCTTCAGTTTTAGCTGTTATTATCGTCGGTACGCTTGCCTTTACTCCATCTGTCGTTGGTCAGTCAACGAGTGATCTTTGCACTCTGTTTTCTTTATTTATTTCAGATCACCGAGCTCTTTCTCCCTTCTTTATCCAGGTGCATGTGTGAGTATTTAGATCTTCCTTCTCTTTATTATCACCAGTGATTATTGTGGAAAGAGTTGGAGACTTGTGCTGCACCGATTGCTCCGGCTATCTTTCGTGCTCTTTGTCTCTGTTTTTTTTTCCTCTTCGTTTTCTGTTTTGGTTCTATCTGTGGCGTCATCTTCGAGTAACAGCTGGGATGAGAAACCAAGTTGCCAGAGCTGCGGCAGTGCTGTTATGAATATGGATTATTGTTGCTGATTCATTTCCTGTGTTTCCTTGCGAGTAGTGCTCAGTTTTCTGCGTCCCTGTTCTGCTGCAATCTTCATTTTCTTCTTCTTTCTCCTTTGTTGTCCGCTGCCATCTGGGTTGAGAAGGTGAGAAATTTTAAACTCTCCTATTGCTAATCCACTATGTCGTGAGAGTAAGAGATAAGGACATGTGTGACGTGCGTATACGTGAAATGCAGAAGTAGAGTTGTATGCGCTACTATTACTGTTTGGTATATGTAATCATGGCAACCTCACATTGTTCTGTCATTATTCATGCTGTTACGTAAGAAAAAGAAGAAAAAGGAAGAAGAAGAGAGGAGGAATTTCTATTTAAATGAATATTGCGGTTATGCAAGGAAGCAAGATGATATTGTAGATTGAGATTCCAATTAGAAATTATGGAATTAGACGATATTGCAAGATCTCAATAAAACTGAAAAAAAAATTAGGAAGGAAAATATTAACATCAACTTCGACAATTATGTATGTATGTATGTTGTTTGGTAAAATACCCAGGACAAATTTATTTAATTATTTAATTATTTATTTATTTATATTCTAATAGGGTGTGCAGAAGAAAGGGAACCTGACCAAAATTGAAAGAAAGGATATCTTTAAAAATTTTGAAGCTCCGACGAGTAAGTGAATAGCATTCCATTTAATATTTTATCTTTATTTTAATAGCCTCTTCCTGAATTATTTTTCTTATGAATTATATTAATTATGAAAATTTTAAGATATCAGTGAAAGACAAACGAGTTATGATATATGCATTCATTGATTTTTACAAAGATATTTCCAAGTTTGATGGAAGTAATCTTGTATGGTTGTTAAACTTTGAAATTTATTGGATACTCGATTAATACAAAGTTATGATTTTGACAAACGTTGAGATTTGACACAATTCATGCGAGTTTGATTTTGAAAATGACAATTTAAATTCAAAATAATCATTTCTCTCGCATGTTGAAATGGGATTTCTAAGAGAACTTTACACAGAACACTGTTACTAACGGCAGTTCCGTTAGTCCGTAGCGCGCTGTGGTTAAATACTAGCTAGTTTGTTTCGTGAGTTTTATTCTCACGTTTGGTATTCGTGGGCTTCATACCCGCGTTTGATTTCGTGGCCTGAGCCACGTTTGGTTACTTACCCTCGTGGGCTGTGTGTCCACGTTTGATTCGTCGCTCCGGCTGCGTTTGGTTATTTACCCTCGTGGACTGGTGTGTCCACGTTTGTTTTCGTGGCATAAGCCGCGTTTGGTTATTTACCCTCGTGGACTGAGTGTTCACGTTTGTAACCTGTTCTGTTGAGTTCTCGAAATTTTAAATGTTGATTAATATGTATTTTTGAAATTTATCCGGTGTTGACTAGTAATTTGTATTACTTTGAGTTATATGAGAGCAAATGGTTTCTTTAAGCATGAGAACATAAATTGTTCTCTACTTATTCTTATTTTTCAAATATGATTATAATTTATATGCTTATAATTTTGGTGGAATTACTTTCAATTATTTGACACCATTATTAGAGACTGTCAATTTAAATTTTAAGAATTTTATTATGGGAATGCTATTCACTGGAAAAATTATTTGGCTTCAGATTGGTTAGCTGACGCCGATTCTACCAGCAACCTCAAAAGGGCAACTAGCTACAGTGGGTGGATATTTTGATTGGTATTATTGTCTTTATGTAAATATATAATTTGTATGTCCTTTTGATTTGAGAGAAGAATAGATGCTCCACATAGGTTGTTGATAAACTTTATTTTTGATCTGTATATGGGTTGTTGGCTGGAAGGAGCTACGCTCCTGATTTATACTGTTATCTGTCAGAATTTTGTTGTAGAATTTTCGGGAGATCCTAGTTACAGGGAGGTTCTGCCGAAATTTTTACAAAAATATCGACACTCTTTTATAATATTAAATCCAATAAGTTATTTTAAATTTTCATAGGATTTGATTAAATTTTGTTCCTTTTTTTGTAAAAATGAAATCAATGTTTATTTTAAGGCTTACGGGAATGTGTAAGTGACTCATACCCGTGCCGGTCACCCTCTATTTTGGGGCGTGACAATATGATTCCTAGTCTTCAATAATTACATGGTATACAATAGGTTTTTATGAAAAAAAGAGCAATTTCCTAAAAGAGATGAGAAAGATAAAGTGACTCTTATGGATTGAACCAAAGATATGAATTTTACATGAAAAACATATATTTATATGTAAACATTATATATTATATTGAAAAGCATTTTACTCTCATGTATAGGCTTGGGGTGCAAAACTATAGGTTTATGGTGTAAGGGGTAGGCTTAGGGTCCAAGGTCATAGGGGTTTGGTTCAAGATGCAAAGGGATAGGTGTAATGCCCTCACTAACATTACTATGCACTCCACTACAATTGATCTAATTACTTTAAAATCATTTAAGTTGTAAATATTAAAAGCTTAGGGATCCTAAAAATTTTCAGAAATCATTTTATAACTCACTCAAGTATAAATCTGATTACACACAACGGAAGTAATAAACCCATGTACTTAAGGATCTGGAAACATGCGCATTATTGAAAAACAAATTGAAATTTGGCACCGTGTGCTGTGTAACATCCTAAATTTCTTAATCCTAAGTTTAGAGGTAAATCAAGTGGGAAGTGAAAATTAAAGTGGGATTAGAGATTCAGAGGACTAATTGGTATTTTGATTGGTTTGTGTGTTGTATGAACAGATATGGGTGATATGAGTGCATTTCGGGTCAAAGCAAGTATGCGTGGTTAGAAGAAGCCTCACTATGCCAAGCGCCATGGCTTGTACTTCGTGCGCCGTGGCACATGGACCAAAAATTCACTTCATAAGTCATGAATTTCAGAAAATTTCAAAAGAGAGAAATTGAGAAACACACGAAACAGAGAGAGGAGAAGGGTTGAGAAGCTAGGTCAAGTCATTTTAGAGCGGTGGAAGGTGTTTCAGATCGGTAACTTGCTAGGTAAGCTACGTATAACTCTTACCTTCCATTCTACACAAATTTCTCTAAAAATGAGTTATAGGGAAATTGAATCGATAGAATTTGATGGGCTTGATTCTTGTCCAATAGTAATAAAAAGGTTCTTGGAAGCTAAATTAGAGCTTTGTGACTAGTTTAGAGCTGAATAGTAGAGCTTTGAACCCGGGGCTTAATTTTGGGTCTTTAGAGAGAGAAAGTTAGGTCAAAATCTGTCTTGAGTGAAATAAGACCAGTTGAGGTGATATAAAGTAGTAATTGGATAGTTATGGACTTAGAATGGATAAATGGAAAAGAGTTTACGGATGAATATAGCCCTAAATAGTAAAAATGAGTTTTTGGTCAAAATGGGCCAAATGACTAAAATGTGCCAAATGTGTTTAGATTGGCATATTGGGCGAGTGAGTAGAGAAAGGAAGCTTGAGATAAGCTTGTACGATAGTATAAATCCACAGGTAAACCTTTCTAGTGACACAAGGGTTGAGGTAACTGAATACCTTCCTTTGTTTGACTGTTTATTGTAACTGTATGCTAGTATGCTAAATAATGCATGAATTGGTTTGAATTGAGCATGTTTTGTGGCATTAAGTGATTGTGTGTGTAAAATGACTTTTGGGTGAAATGAGCATTGAAATTATGTTTTGTAATGTAAAGTGATATATATATATATATATGTTATGTATAAGAAAAAGTAAATTGTGAAAAGGGAACCTTAAATGGTTTGAGAAAGCATGATCTGAGTGGTGAGAGTTCACCCGAGTAAAGGGGATGATAACGATCGTATGGCAAGGTTTCCTTAGTATCCTGTTAGGGTACGGTGTTGGAAACAATTCTCCTTAGTGCCTTGAAAGCTGCTATGTTAGAGAAGATCTCTTGAGTGCCTATTAAGGTACTGTGTTGGAGATGAGAGATTCCTTAATATCTTTATGATATGGGTGGGATTTAATGACGCCCCATTGTGTGTATTGTGGGAAAATCATAGTCCGTATTGTGCGTTAGAACATCTTTAGCTAAGTGATTCTACCATTATAGGTAAGCTCAAGACTAATAAGAGTGTACATTAGTCTGAGATGAGCCTATGGTTTCATGTCAGTGTGATTTGGAGGACTGGTTGGTAGAGATCATGCTAATATTTTATAATATGATGAAATATCTTGAGATAGCATGGAATCCTTCGGGATTGATAAAAAGTGAAAAATGAAATGGGATATGATGTAAATACTACTTTATGAGGTTTTAATGGTATACTATGTTTACTTTCATATTGTTGCATGTGATAGTCAATAGGAGTGAGTTATTCTGTTATTGAGATTTTTATCTCACCCCTATAGTTACATGTTTACAAGACCAGGAAGTGAGTAGGCCAAGGGAAGAGGGTCTGGACCGGCTTGAGTTGAGAAGCCATGTACTCTGAGGTTATGTAATGAACTGAATTGAAATATTGTATATATAAGTGTATATGAGTTACCATAGGTTACATGCATGTATTGAATTGAGTTTTTATGAAATCAAGCCCGAATTATGTGTAAATGTGTTGTTTGAGATAAAGGGGCTTTGATGTGAGTATGATTGTGTTGCAATGATTATGTGTTAGCGAATCTTAAGCCAAAAGCCAAAATTATGATGAAATGAGTAATTTGGGGACTAAGATTGTATTTTGATTGTGATAGGTGAATCTTAAGCCAAAAGCCAAAATTATGATGAAATGAGTAATTTGAGGGCTAAGATTGTATTATGAATAGGATTGAATATGTATAAGTTGAGAAGTAGCTGAGTGGACTATGTTATGCCAAGAAATGACATAGTTTGTGAAATTAGTAGATTGTGGAAATTGGCCGTAGAAGGGTCAAATTTTGATATGTGTATAATTGTAATTAATCATGGTCAATTAAGTGTTTTAGATCCTTTTGGACTTGGTTCAAGGCCTAGTATAGTCTAATGAGAAAAAGGGATTGATTTGAGTGCTTGGGTACGCCAAATTTTTAGAAAAAGTGACTTTTTACACCTGAGTGTCCAAATTTTGATTGAACCATTAGATCATATCTAAACCTATGTCATTAGTTAATATACGAGCTAAGCTTCATGTGGGCACTTGAATCACTCCAATCGGATGTCGTATATGAAAATGGTGCACGCTGGAAGTTCACAATTTTTCTGTCAAAATGATAGCACAAAAACAGATAGGCGCGTCGCGGCGCATGGATGCACATGCTACGATGCACATCATAATCAGGTAGAGTGTGTGGCTTTGTGCCATATGCTACGGCACACTGGCCGTCCGCCGAGGCACAGGACTAACACTTAGTTTTATTTTGTGCTGAAATGCATGTATTCAAGTTAGGAAGGCTGGTGGGTCATGTCCACTATGTATTTGAAAAGTATATGAATTATTTCCACTGTGTTTTTCTCTGATTGAATTATGATTTAATTGATTTTATAAAGTAAGTCTTTAGCCGAAGCTTTTGAAATGAATTAGATTATGGTGAATGATGTGAGTTAATGGTAACATTATAGTCTTCTCTTGTATTAAGTGGATATATGAAAGGAGGTTACACGCCACGGCTCATACTACTTGTGCTGTGGCATGTGGCACAGGGTATATAGTCGCTCGCTCTATGCCGTGCACCGTGGCACATACACCTGAATTTGCTGTCAAATGGTAGTTTCTGATATGAAATTCAAATATGTGGCATTTGCAAATATGATGTCCGATTGGGATGGTTCAAGTTCCTACATGAAAGTTGTTTTAAAATCTAACTAATGACACTAGTTTCATCTCAATTTGATATCTTTATCGAAAATTGAACACCCAAGTGTATTTTGACCAGTTTCTACCAAAAATTTGCCACTCAAGTGTCTTAATTCAAAACCAAATGTCATTAGTCACTTTTTAGGCCTTGGCGAAGTCCAAAGGGACAATACACACCTAATTGACTATACACATGTACAATATATCACACATATACAAATTTGGCCTATAAATTGCCCATTTCACCCTTTGGGCCAAATTCACATTTTCTTTTCTTTGATCACATATATGACCAAATCACTACATATAATCTCCACCCATCTCATATTCATACATAATTATATCCATCCATTAGTCCATCCAGACATTTCATCATTCACACATATATAAGGGCTAGGGAGCTCAAAATCACAAAACATACCACAATCATATCTTCATGCACATGTACAAATCTTATGGCAACTTATACATATACAAGACTAATAACAACCAATTCATTATACTAAAACTTTACAAAGGTTTAGTGAGAGATCTCAACTCAGCTAATGTCTTTTCCCTTCGAAACACTAGCACTAGAGCCTGAAAAATGTAAATAACCACGGGTGAGATAAAATCTTAGTAACCAATATAATTCATTCAATGTTTATTTCCACAGATAACCATGCCAAAGTAATAAAAATAAAGTAATATCACACACACACATACACATATCAAAATATGAAATGATTCTCTTTTCAAAACAATTCTGTACAAATACATACTAGTATGATCGTCTAGCCATCGAACCTTTAATGCTCCTTGACATGAAACCATAGGCTCTCTTGGATTAATTACTTGTTGACCCGAGCACACTTTTGGTGGTAGAGATACCCGACTAAAGGTAATCTAACCCACATGCCGACTATGGTTTTCCCTCTTCACACACTTGTGATAGAGGCAATATTGACTCCTAACTACACCCTATCGAGCACTAAGGAGTTGCCAGACTGCCTGGATGTCCTATGGTAACAGTCCCATAATATGCTATATCAGATTACCTATAATGATAGCCTGTATAATGCTACATCGGATATCCCATGGTGTCAACTCGACCATATAAATTT